GCAAATTTTTTTTGACAACCGAATCTTGCGAAGCCTACCAATATTGCGTTAGGCATATTCGGAGGTTGATATATTCTCAGAAACTGGATTTCATTGTTTTCTGAAAATCGCATCTGTACTCCATTTCGCAAACTTTTTTCAAGATCGCAGTTTGTAAAAGCCGAAACTTTGCGGAATCTAGCCTAGATCTCGTTCATAATACCTTTCTGACATATCCTACTCATCATAGATCGGCAGATATATACAAAAAAGAAAAAAGAAAAAAAAAAGGAAGTAGTCCTCTTTTTTATTTTTATTTTTTTAGTTTATCTGTTGATTAGGGCCGGAGGAAAGATTGTTGGGTTGGTTATTACCTACGTTTTCCCTCCCACCCACCCCTTGCATGCATCCCGGTTCGGTACAGTGCCACATCAGCAGTGCCCCGTCACAGTGCCACGTCAGCAGTGCCACGTCACAGTGCCAGGTCACAGTGCCACGTCAGCAGTGCCACGTCACAGTGCCAGATCAGCAGTGCCACATCAGCAGTGCCAGGTCACAGTGCCACGTTAGACTCAGTGCCACGTCAGCAGTGACATCAGACACAGTGCCACGTAAGCAGTGCCACATCAGCAGTGCCACGTCAGACACAGTGCCACGTCAGACAAAGTGCCACGTCAGCAACATGACGGGCCTGCCAGGCCAACTGGCCAATGAGCCCATTGCCGACTACAAAAAGCGCGTCCATGCTCAGCTCGCTGCAATCAAGGCTGAGGAACAACGCCAGCTGGCAGTCAAGGCTGCCCAGCTACAGGCTGATGAAGCGGCAACATCAGAGAAGTTGCGGCTACAAGCCGAAGCAGATGCAGATGCCCAGGCTCGCCGCAAGGAAGCCCGGGCTCTGCTGCAGCGGCATGAAGCCAACAGCATCGAGAAACTCAAGTACTCGCACTTTGAACCGAACGGCGACGAGCCAACACCGGAAGAGCATCATAAGGAGTTCATGGCCAAGCTCGTGAGCAGGTTGGTTTACACATGTAACCACCTACAGTCCGAGCTGGCAAACCTTCAGCGGGTCGTGCGGAGCCATAAGATTGAGCACGAGGATGCCACACGGGCACTGGACGCCCGTGTACTGGGCCTGGAACAGGCTGTACCAGGACCAGATGCCGGAGCTTCCAGCAGTGCATCCTCTAGCCGCCAACTGGAGGAACGCGTTGACCACGTAGTGGCAATGCTAGGAGACATAAGTGTCTTCACATAGCCGACCACCATCAGCCAGCGGTTCGAGTTGCTGGACACTAAGATCAGTCAGCAACAGCAGACTAACCACAGCCACAACAACAGCTCGGCGAGGCCATACAAGATGCCGACGTTCCGGATCGAGAAATTTGATGACTACACACATCAAGAGTCGGTCCTTTGGTGGCAAGGATTTACAACGGAGTTGGGTATTCACGAAGTCCCTGACCATCTGTTCATCAGTGCTCTGTTCATCAACACCAATGGAGGTTGTCAGATCTGGCTCAGCCACATGGCAACTATCCACAACATCCAGGTTTCAGACTTGTACAAGAAGGTCTCCTGGGAGGACATGACAAAGGAATGGAAGAAGCGGTTCATCGTCGACGACGCCCCGACACTCGCCGTCAACCGCATCTTCACGATGGCTCAAGGGAGCACACCGACACGTGACTGGCTCACGGATTGGCAGAAAATCGTGGCGACGCCCGATTTGGACTTGTCATTTCCGCATCTGCGGCGTGAGTTCTACAACAGGTCATGCACCTCTCTCAGCCTCGCACTTGGTGATCGTGAGCAGTACAGCACTTTCGCAGAGATCATCAACAAGGCGAGAGAGCTCATCAAGACTAACAGGCCGGCTGCATACGAGAAGTCCACGTGGCAGCCAACCTATGTGGAGACGATACGAACTGGTCCGCGACAGCAGCAGTTCGCTGCAGCCCAGTCGGACAGTGGAGATAACCCAACAGCCACTCCAGCATCAAGTGACGGAGATCAGGTGGCTGTTGTCCAACCGCAAAGCAACAACAAGTCCCGCAACAATGGGAAGGCGAAATCCGCATCGCCGGCAGGAAATGGACAGCCAGGACAATTTCCATGGGTCAAGTTTGGCTTGACCGAGGTGGAGTACAAGGTCCGCGGCCGCTACGGCAGCTGCTATTGGTGCAACAGCACCAAGCACAAGACCTCCCTGTGCCAAGATCAGGGCAAGGAGGATGTGCGACCCCGCCTCAGCTCGGGAAACTGAGCTCCGCGGAAGGTGAGTCGACTCCACCTTCTACTCCGCCAGATTCGGCCGCTTTGCTAGTGGCCTCATGCACATCTGGGGAGGATGCGAATGTCGCAAGTCCTCGGTATACTTACGAGGATTATGATGTTCACTTGGTTCCAACCAACCGCTCCACGTGCAACAGTCCACCGCATGCACGGTTTCATCACCATCGACAACCGATTCGGCAGCTTCGCCGCAATCTATCGCCGGGGATTCGACGTCATGGTCAAGACTTGAAGAGCTCGACCCGTTGACGTTCACGGACTTCCAGTGGATGCCCGTTCCCTCGACCGAGCGATTGCCGAAACCACATTGCAATGCGCTCATGGCACAACTACGGGACTACTTGCACACTGCAGTACCAGCTCCGTTGATGGACGTCGGAGCAAAGGTTGTCAACCTTCACGCTTACATCGCGAAGATCGACCGCGAGTTCAAGACAGAACGGTACGACGACATCGACACACCATTGCTATATGTAAGCATTCAGATTGGAGAGGCGACCTGCAGTGCCTTGATCGATTGCGGAGCATCTCGCAACTACATCAGCCAGGACTTCATGGTACGCACCGGCCTTGGCCCACGTGTCCGGAGGCAGTCCCAGCCTACGCAAGTCACCCTGGCAGACGGTCATACGCACAAGTCCATCGACCGGTGCATTGACGCCGTCCCAGTGTACTTTGCCCCTCACGCAAGTGAGGCGGTGTCCTTTGACATTCTGAACACCAAATTCGATATGATCTTGGGCATGTCATGGCTGCGAAGCAAGGATCACCCGGTGAACTTCTTCAACCGCACCGTTCACGTTCGTGACCGGAACAGAGTATTAGTTCCATGCACGTTGCCTCTTCCTCATGCTTCGATCAACTGCCACGTGGTATCCGCCACAAGCATGCGAGCTTCCATCATCAGAGACGACATCGAGGAGATGGGGGTGTGTTTTCTCCACGCCCTCCCGCCCCATGACGCTTCATCGATGGACTCACCTTCGGATCCACGCATCACCGAACTGCTCGACGCCTACAACGATGTGTTCGAAGGCCCGCACGGAGTAGTACCGGATCGACCCATCCGCCACGAGATCATCCTCGAGGACGGGGCCGTACCTCCGCGCGGCTGCATCTACCGAATGAGCGAGGAAGAGTTAAGTGTGCTTCGGGCACAACTCGACGACCTTMTRGAGAAAGSCTGGATTYGGCCTAGCTCATCGYCATACGGTGCTCCTGTTCTCTTCGYCCGGAAGAAGAACAAGGACCTGCGGTTCTGCATCGATTATCGCAAGCTCAACGCGCAGACGATCAGGAACGCCGACCCTCTCCCACGCATCGACGACCTTCTCTAGCGATTGGGCGGCGCCCAGTTCTTCTCTAAGCTGGATCTCAAGTCAGGGTACCACCAACTCGAGATTCGCAAGGAGGATCGCTACAAGACCGCGTTCAAGACACGGTATGGGCATTTCGAATGGCTGGTCATGCCATTTGGCCTTACGAATGCCCTAGCCAATTTCCAAGCGGCTATGATGACGGAGTTCCGACACATGCTGGATCGTTTCGTACTTATCTACCTCGGCGACATTCTGGTTTACAGCCGGAGTCTGGACGAGCATATGGAACACCTGCGCACCATTTTGGAGCAACTACGACAGGCCAAGTACAAAGCAAACCGCGACAAGTGCGAGTTCACACAGCAGGAGCTGGAGTACTTGGGACACTATGTGATGCCGCAAGACATCCATCCGCTTGCGGACAAGATCGAGGCCCTACGAGTATGGCCCGAGCCCACCAACACCACGAACGTTCGTTCATTCATGGGGTTGGCGGGCTACTATCAGCAATTCATCACCGGATACTCCAGGATTGTTGCACCTATGATGAGGTTACAGTCGCCAAAGATGCCATTCGTATTCGATGACGATGCACGCCGGTCATTCCAATCACTTAAGACGGCTATGCTCATGGCACCCGTCCTTAGCATCTATGACCCCACCCTGCCAACGCGAGTGACTACGGACGCTTCCGGTTATTGCATTGGGGCAGTCTTGGAACAGCACGACGGCGACGACTGGCACCCTGTGGAGTATTTCAGCCACAAAGTGCCTCCCATCAACTCGCTTGATGATGCAAGGAAGAAGGAGCTGTTCGCATTCGTGATGGCTCTCAAGCGCTTGCGGCACTTCCTCCTTGGGCGTCGTAGGTTCACATGGGTCACAGACAACAATCCATTGACCTACTACAAGACGCAGGACACGGTGAGCAGCACGGTCGGACGATGGATGTACTTCATCGACCAATTTGACTTCACACCGAAACATGTCCCCGACCTCTCCAATTGCGCAACAGATGCACTCTCGCGAAGACCTGATCTTTGCGCTATGTCACATCATGCCTTCACATTCGACGAGGAGTTTCAGCAACACTTCATCCGGGCATATCAGTCTGATCCGGACTTCGGCACGCTCTACGCACAACTATCTTCGGATCACCCACCGGCCAGCCATTACCGCATTGTCGACGGGTACTTGCTCCTCCACTCGAGAGGCAAGGACTTACTATGTGTCCCACGCGACCGTCGTCTTCGGACTCGCCTCCTCGGCGAGTACCATGATTCACGACTCGCCGGCAATTTCGGAGTCAACCGCACTATTGCACGGCTTCGACAGCGATTCCGATGGCCCGACCTCATTGCCGATGTCACCCGGTATTGCGACTCTTGCGAAGTTTGCCGACGCAGCAAGCCCCGCAACCGTATTCCCTATGGCAAGTTACACCCGATGCCTATCCCACGGGAACCCGGTCTCTCCATTGCCATGGACGTCACCGGTCCGTTTCCTCGCGACCGGCTCGGGCACGACGGCATCCTGACRGTTGTGGACCGATTGAGTAAGTACGCGCGTTTTCTCCCTTGCAAGTACTACTCCACGGCTCCCGAGTTGGCACGCCTCCTGCACACTGGTTGGATTTGTGGCCACGGTGTACCAGAAGACATTGTCAGCGACCGCGACACTCGTTTCATGTCGGTGTTTTGGACAGCTCTCATGCAAGAGTCCGGCACAACAATGAAACCAAGTTCAACTCGACATCCTCAGACAGACGGGCAGACGGAGCGGGTACATCAAACCGCTCCAATGATGCTTCGTACGCTCATCCGTCCGGACCAGAAAGATTGGGTTGACCGCCTCCCCGACATCGAGTTCGCCTACAACACTTCGGTGCATCCGGCGATCGGCGTGACTCCATTCGAGTTGCACCACGGTGGACGGAAAGGACGGATCTTCGCAGACCTTCTCCTCCCTCGACCAGCCGACATTGACGCTGCCTGCCTTCCCGCTTCCGTCCGGAAGTACAAGGAATTGCTGACTCAAGCCCGCGCAAATATGCAAAAGGCTCAAGTCCGCATGCAGCAGCAAGCCAACAGGCGTCGCGTACCGTGTCCCATCCGCGCCGGTGATCTGGTTTGGGTCTCCGTGGAAGAGTTTGCACTGGAACAGGATGTTTCACGCAAACTGTTTCCCAAGTGGTTTGGACCTTGGTCTGTGAAAGCAGCCGCGGGCGATGAGCCCGATGGCCCTTCATTTGTGGTCAACATTCCAAAGCATCTGACGGTCCATCCAGTCTTCCACGCCTCGAAGTTGGCAACATACACGCTAGCCAAGAGCGACGACTTTCCGGACCGACGATCGCAGGACCCTCCTTTTATGGATGGCCATCAGGAAGTTGACCGCGTCATCTCCGATCGCAAGTACGGCAGCAAGCCGCGGCAGTACAAAGTCACATTCAAAGCATGCGATCGCGACGACACTCGGTGGATTTCAGGCGCAGATTTGAAAGCATCCCCACCGCTGATCTACGCGCATTATGAAAAGCAGAGGTTAGCTCAGGAAGCTTCACGACCAGCCCCTCCCACYCGGACTGTGGTCCCTCCCTCAGACAGACAGCTTCGCCCTCGCAGGTAAGCTCGGTTCTTCAAGGAGGGGGGGGTGTGGCATACTGCGTAGCCACACGGGCCCTGCAGGGCCCGTCCCGGACATTCAGCCTAAAAGCCTAAAACTTAGGGCTTACAAGCCCCGTTCGTTTCAGCCTGAAAGCTGAAAAACGAGGGCCGGCAGGCCCTACCCCGTTTCAGCCTATTTCTGGGTCTTTTCAGACCCAGAGTTTTCAGCCTGAAACGGAGGGCCATTTTCAGGCTCTCATTGTTTCGACCTGCCCCTAAGACTCAGGCACGTAAACAGGGATGCGGAACAGGCCAGAAATAGCCTGTTCCTCACGAGTTTGAGCAGGAGCTGCAGCTGCAGCCCCTGCCTCCCGTCGGCAGGCTCAGGAGGCACACCCGTAGTACATAGGAAGTTCCCATGCACTTCACGGGTAGGTAGTGTCAGTAGGCAGTGGTAGTCTTCGGGATTCGGCCGCAGCACTGAGGAGGAGCGCTGCAGTAGTCTTCAGCGCTAGTAGTAAGTAGCGCTAGCTGTAGTCTTCGGCGTTGGGCGCCATAGCTGTAGCTGTAGTCTTTAGCGCTGGGCGCTGGTAGGTGGTAGATCGTAGAGTGGGAGAGAGACTGGCGGAGGCCAGTGTTACTTACATGTGGCGCCATCGCTCCAGCTCCATCTTCGTGGTACCCGCATTAGTATTGGACATAGAGAGAGAGAGAGAGTTCTTCTTCTTCCTCTTCTAAGTCCACCGTCTCTTCTCACCCTCTCGACACCTGACTTCTCAGACTACGACAGAGAGAGACAGAGTTGTGACTTGAGACTTGACGACATTGGATCCTGACTTGACATTTGGGATTCAGACATTTCGACGAGGGACTATTTGGGCTTGTGCCTAAGACTTGGTGTTGACGACATTCCCATCTTCCCCCTCCTCTTCGTCTATCCCCTTCCTCTTCGTCTGTGTATGGTATGGGCTGGTGCAGTCTTCCTGTGTGAAGCGCCAGGCCCATTTCACACCATGTAACGATGATGATGATGTATGTTCAGGGATGCATTTCAACATTGATTGTTCGGATCACTGGTATCTAAGTCTTCCGNGCAGTCTTCCTGTGTGAAGCGCCAGGCCCATTTCACACCATGTAACGATGATGATGATGTATGTTCAGGGATGCATTTCAACATTGATTGTTCGGATCACTGGTATCTAAGTCTTCCGTTGTGCTATCTTATACTTTGTATTGAAAGGTCGGTTCTTGTTTTGGTCTGCACGTTACAATATGCAACACCTATCTGCACGCCCCCCCGCCCTCGATCAAACAGAGCTGCACGGTAAACCGTAGGCAGAGAGGGAGAAGAGGACAACAAAGGAGGGGCTGTGACAAACTATTTCGTCAGAGTTTCGCTCAGGAGGCTGAAACCCACAACAGTATGCAGAATCTCCTAACTGATTACACTATAAGTGATAATTCACCTTAAGCCCCGGTTGTGGTGAAGCATCATCGACTGCCCGACAACAATAAATTTCACTTTTCAAAACTGCCAAAACATCCCCTAAAAAGACCGCTCTTCGAGACGCCTTATCTATACATACACAGAGAGAGAGAGAGAGAGAGAGAGAGAGAGAGAGAGAGAGAGAGAGAGAGAGAGAGAGAGAGAGAGAGAGAGGCCACTGAAGGCACAAATATTGGCACTAGAAGCACCCCTCCATAAAATGACGAAAGGTATATGCATAAGCACTGATAGGCGATCAACTTCCCGACATGTTGCAGCCACATGGCCTGGGTGGCCATCATCAGGGAGAAGTATACCTTTCTCGTGGCTCTTCCATGACTATTCTTTTTTTGCCCTCTTTTACTGATGATACGCCTTTGCCCAGGTGCTGCCACGTGTATCATTCGCTGATGTGGTGCCAACCATTGCCTAGATGTATGCCATCATCAATAGGCGGCAATCCAGCTGTGGTGATTAGGATAGGGTGCTGTTTGAATGAACGCCTATTGACGCCTGTATCATTACAAGTTATATTGCGAGTCCTCCCAGGTTACCACAGTGGCCCGGGACGACTTGTAGGGCGGGCAAAGGCAGAGGGCGGGGGGCAGGGGTCGGCGGAAGGGGGGGTCGAGGGGGGAGAGACGCATGACATGTATACTTGGTAAAAGTTTTAGCCTGTAGTACGGAATGGGAAATTTAGGCCGTGCCTAACCCAATAGGTTCTCCCATGGGCTGTATCTGCCAATTATCCCGACATGACCTTAGCGGAGGCAGTCAAAAAACGTGAAGGGGTCCTCTGGGACATAGGTTAAAATTGGAATGATACGGAGAATGAAGATTAGCGTGGCACCTGCGCAAGGATGATATGGATAAATCGAGAAATCGTCCAAAATAAATACACACACGCACACACACACATATACACAGGAATTTAGGAAACCACCCCTCGAAGGACAGAGCGGCAGGAGGAGGCTCGGAGAGGAACCCCGAAAATATGCAGACCCGGGTAAGATTATAAACCTACCTCGAACGAACTACTACCACGAAAAGAGGAACCCTGCGCTTCGACCAAGGAACCGGCAAAACAAGTAGGCACGGGCCCACAGACCCACCCGTCTATGACCCCCCAGCAAACGGAATGAAAAGCAACCAACCGAATTCCCCTGAACCCACCCCTCAAGGAGAAAAACAACGAACGTCGAACCTTGGACCTATGGACCAAGCAGTAGGGTACCTAATCATCTTCCGACGTCTCCCAATCGTGGGGTATCAGGACAGACTCCCTTTTTGAAGGAAATCAGGAGAACTCGGGGGGCAATCATAGGGAAAATGAACATACCTGCCTCCCACTTGAACGAGGAGTCACAGGCACGGGAACCACGGGTGGAATAGATTGATACCGTTTTCACTGGGTTAATGGGCCTTGAGCCCAGGACGTATCAATTGGACCGGCAATCATCTCGAGCCACCTTCGATACTTCCCGAGGGACTGAGTGATAACCCATCTCGGTTTTCTCCCTTTTTTCGACTTTTCGTTTTTTTCATTTTTTTCGTTTTTTCGTTTTTTCGGTTTTACGTTTTTTCTGCTTTCTCCCCTCTGTCCCCCCTTTTCCCTTCTTGTCTTTTCCCTTCTTGTCTTTTCTGTTGTTGTCTTCTTCCTCCTACGTTGTTGTGATATTTCAGCTTTTGAGCACGGACGAAACCCTCCATTTGAGGACACCCAGGGCGTGGGGATATCTCCCGTATCTCCGGCGACTAATTAGAGACCCCCGGGGGAAGATGACTAGGATAGGGTTGGTGTTTGATTCCTTCGACAAGGGAGTTCGATGATACTCACCCGCCGCACGAGTACTATTGATGTTGGGGGCATGCTTATGAAACTGATCTCCCTCCCCTAGCAGACTGTACCCTGTTAGGTCTTCCCTTGTATATATAGAGATCATTATCCCTGGTAAGTAGCAAGTGTTTTATGGGCGGATCTTTGAGGTGCGAAGACTGAATGAGTCAGGAGCATTATACGGAATCTATCCTAGTGCAAATACGGTGGATCAGGACCTTGAAAGCGGGCGGAGGCTTCGGCTATGGCAGACTGGGAGTTCACAACTGGAGTGGCGGAGGACCTACCAATCATGCCGGAACCTGAGGAGGATATCGCGGCGGAAGAAGTGGTACATGGTCCTCAATCTCCTCTCTGTGCGTGTGTGGAAAGGGATATGGCTGTCTGTGTTGGACTGTGAAATGGATGTGCTGTTTTGCAGGTTTTAACCCCTCTGATGAGCCGGTTGAGTGGCAACGGCGAAAAAGCTTTTAGGGGAGCCACACCCCTCCTGCGGCGTTATTTCTTCCATGAAGTTCGACCAAGCTCCCATCGTTATTCCCAGACGTTCTGCCTAGCCTAATCGCGAAGCCCGTGGATTGGTTTTCGGTTCATCTGATTGATATTAAGGATTGTGGTTTTTACGATCATCTTGGTGAAATATGGAGTATGTTTTGGTTCGTTGGAAAATATATTCTCGCTTTGATGGGTATTCCTCCTTTCATTTGTGTTGGGTGAATCAGTTCTCATCTAATAGTTGGTTTTCTTGGGAATCATTTTGGATACTTCTGCATGGGAGCTTCTCGTTGTAATGGAATGTTTTTCTCATTTCCCCTCCTCCCACCCGGTTTGAAGACAGAAAGCGCGTTGTATTGGCCTCTTGTACGTATACCATAACCCGATTGAATCCCCCCGGATTAACCTGATCCATGGAAGTGTGATGATTTCCTTGATTAGTGATCAAACCCCTCGTACCCATATCCCTACCTGAAGAAGGCCGATTGAACCTTGTGTTTCGTATCTTTGAACGCTGTATACTACTGAATACTCTCGACCCCGGTTTCGATATAAATCTTCCCGTCTTTCGCTGTCCCCCTTGCTTTCAATTGAACCTCGAGTATCCGAAGAACCCTCTACGTTAAGCCTGATTGAACATGAAAACGCCTCCCGTTTGATCGTACCCTGCCCGCGCTGATTTTTTCTTTCCCATCGTAAACCAGAAATATGTAATGATTCCCTTTGATCCTCTCATTAATATTGTATTCTGGCACGGATATTTCCGGACTTTTATACTCTGATTGTTTCAAGGAAATAAAGTTCGTGTGGACACTGTAGCCATCCTGTCAATTCCGCATTGAGGTACATCGAGTTGGGTGGCTATAAAACGGTATTGTTGGGATATGACTGGACCCTGGCGTACCACCGTATAGGTGGAGTGCATGACGGACACGTCATGGGAATATACAGGACACACACACACACACACACACACACACACACACACACACACGCCCCACAAAAGAAAAAGGGAAAAAAAAGTAGGAGACGCTTTTGTTGAGTACCGCACAGTCTGCCAAGAACACCCTTCGGTGTAATGAGAATTCCCTGACGGGTCTGAAAGCATTTTGCAAATTATTGTATGTATCAAAATACACTTTAGAAAATCCCAACAAAAGGCGTATACATGGTTGACAGACTATTATTCCTCGTACTGAGAGTAAAATAGGATATTGTACATCGAATGATATATAAGACAATACGGGGTTTCGGGCCAACTGACGGGGGAAAAAAAGACCCATTCGTAAATAATCGCGCCTCTGTCAAAGTACGCGATGCACTTCCGGAGATTACACTGAGAAATTTCCTGGGCCATACCCACAATAGCAATTGAACGACTGAATTTGCAATAGATGTCAGATTCAACCAAAGAAACACAGATGTGAACTTTCTTAGCCAATTACGGTTTTCACGCTGCTTTCTGTTTTATTTACTTATCTATTTTTTATTTATCTATTTCTATTTTTTATTTATCTATTTATTTATCTATTTATTTATCTATTTATTTGTCTATTTATTTATCTATTTATTTATCTATTTATTTATCTATTTATTTATCTATTTATTTATCTATTTATTTACTTTGCCACCGTATATCCCTTCTTTTCCCCAGCGCGATCCATATCAAGGAGCCATATATGTTTATGGCAATACAATATGAAGAGCATGTTTCGGAAGATTTTGGTTAATGCTTCTTCCTCTTCCTTCTTCTTTCTTCTTTGCTCTTCCTCTTCCTGTTTTTTTTTTCCTTCAGACTGGCTGATATCTATCGGGGAATGCTGACCCGGTATAGAGGAAGACTAAGGCCCAGGAAGGCCGACTACGCAGCGGGTAAGTCCCTACCACCGACCGGTGCACGTGCAGTAAGAGGATCTGACGCACGCAGGGTGCGCACGTGAGGGAGGCGGGAAGAAGGGGCGAGCGTGAGTGCACGCCGAGTTAGTTGCAAACGAGGCGAGCCGTGAACCAGCCAGTCAGTTACAGTCAGGTTCCTGTATATCTCAGGAGGACAAGGCCAGAAAGGTCCTCTTTGCTCAGGGTGGAATGCTTCAGTGGATGCGGGAGTGTGGTTGCCGCTTGACAAGTCCTGGTGGGCAGCCAGGCGAAACGTGTTTGAGCTCAAAGTCCGTGTAGGAGCTTCATCGCTTATCGTTGAAAGCATGGACGCATAGCGATTGGCCTCCCTATTTCAATTCATTTCAATTCATTTCAATTCTTCTTTTCAAGGGAGACGTCCTTAAGATATCATCATTGATTTTATTTTATTTTACGGGTGACGGCCCTGTAGATATCATCATTGCACGGACCGGCCCCAGGTGGGTAATTCAGAATTGTTCTATTCTGTTCATCTGATTGCATCTGGATTTAAACAGTTCACGGGTGTACCAACTGAGCTAGGCCCGTTGGTTCTAGCCAGTTCTTCCAGAGAAGCTTAATTTTTCTTTCTTTCATCTTGTCTTTTCTTTGTCCCTTTCGATTTTATGACATGCCTTTTTCGATATTCACTTACTGGACATGAAAGCCATTAAATTCAAAAATACAACAGAAAATACAGGGGAGGGAAAAGGATATATCATTGTCCCCCGAGCTGTAAATGGCCCCAACAACAAAAAGCAAAATGGCAATAAAAAAAGCAACGCAAGAAAGAACTCCCGATCACTTCCAAGTGTTGGATTCCCGGGGAGAATACCTCCAGCAAAGAGGATTGGATTTACAGCCTGAATCTGGACGTGCTTGCCGAGAGGTGCAGAAAACTGCAATTGATCCTTTTTTCTGCATCGCTGATTTGATCACATCTAGATTCAGGCGCTTAATCATCCTCTTTTCTGGTGGGACCTCATCCCAGTCGAAATATTGAGAGCGCAACAATGTCCACGAGAAGAAAAAGCAATATTCGAAAACCTTCTCGATGTTTGGAATGTAAGGATGTGGGGGGGGGGGCGGCGGCGGACGGGGAGAGAGAGAGAGAGAGAGAGAGAGAGAGAGAGAGAGAGAGAGAGAGAGAGAGAGAGAGAGAGAGAGAGTGGATCTCAGAAAGAGGTAATTACCGCACGGCAGAGAAATCTTGTGACGGCAACATTTAAAATTCCACTAATTCGACAGAAAGGATCAGAGGAGGAGGAGCTTTCTCAAATCTCCATTTTGCAATTTTGTCAGTTAAAATATCACCATTCTCCTTTTTTTCAACAGAGAGGACAAAGAACGATTCTCGTCATCTTCCTTCACTCAGGAAGTCACAATTTTCCATTTCTCATCGTCAAGAAAAACATTTAGGTACAAAAAACAAGTAATAGAGTACAATTAACTAAGTAAAAGGCGGTGCTATGACAAACGAGGGGCACTACCGGATTTACCACGTTCCCGTTCTGCTGACAGGGAAAATAACGAACGCTACCGACGTACCGAGAAGCACAGGCATTCTGCCTCCCTCCAGTGCGGTTAAATAAGAACATCGGCCCATTCACAACCATATCGGGCTCCGTGAGGATTCACAGATCGACGGAATGTGGCAGCACACTACTTCTAGTACGCGCTGCAAAAAGATCGGAAACCATCTCACAGAGAGAGAGAGAGAGAGAGAGAGAGAGAGAGAGAGAGAGAGAGAGAGAGAGAGGAAAAGTGTTGAAGGAACGTGAGGATGTCAGATTTAGCCAGGCCATTGTCAGCTCGATTTCGCTGCCACTTGGACTGAACGACCGCACAAAAATATACAAGAGTGCTAGTTGCGTCTACGACCAGAGCAGCTGCTACGCAACGTACAATGTCAAGAGGGGTCGAGAGAACCAAATGCTAGGTTGGCCGCCTGCCACAGCTAACGCGGGCGGCTACCAGTGCTAACGCGGGCGCCTACCACTGACCACACTGCTGACGTGGCCGACTACCAACGCTGACGTTGCATGCTAGCTTTATTCCTTGAGATCACCCCCGTGTGCTGTCCTTCACGACTAAAACAGGCGGCAGCGAAACGGGCGCTGCTGCCTCCTGTCCTACCCTCCCTCCGGGCAACCACGAGCATTACCACTGCGCGCCAAATGGACCCTCGGTCACCACCCTACATGAGGAGATTCCTGAACTAAAGATCCTCGACGGCGACCGCAACCAACATCACCATAACACTGCGCGCCACCACTGCGCGCCGAATTGAGCGTTCCGCACCCTTCCTCTCGCTACGCCCCCGTCCCTTAAAACACCGACCAACCTGGTCGTCGTCGGCCTCGGGATGGTTGGTTGGTGGGCGGATAAGGTGGGGTGTTCTTGCTTAATTAAGTACTGTTCTTGCTTAATTAAGTACTTGGGCACGTTGTCCACTGGAGGTTGAAGGCCAGCTGGAACCTGGTGTCCTGAGAATCGAGCGCCATTACCGCTTTCTTGCCCTCTACTCTCACCACAACCTTGATGTTCAGGTTGGGAGCGTTGTTGCACTCGCTCCACACGATCGTCAAGAAGTCGTCCGTGAACTCGAAGTTGCCCGTTTGCGGCCCCGGGACTTCGCGCGCCAGGCTGGCCGTACCTGTTTGTCCGGCGAAGTAGTAGTGCGACTCGTAATGGCCCTTGGACTTCTTCGCGATGTTGGCGAACCCGCGCCCCGTCGCCTGGCCAATCGAGACACTCCAGCCGTCGGGGTACACCATATTAAACGACATCTGGCAATGCTTCCTCTTGCCGGCAAGTCCCTCGTCAGTGGTGGCAACCATCCCGCCAAACATGAAGGTCACCACCTTGTTGTCGTTCGACAGAGCGTAGTTGGTGTTCTCCCCGTTGCAGCCAGACCCGGCATAGGTCACATAGCTGATAGTCACCTCCGGGGGCTGCGCAGATGCTTGGAGAGCGACGATCAGCAGCAGCACGGCTGCGACGAACGTCGAGCGCGCCATAGCCATCACCTTCGCCAGCTTCGTCAGTGAGCTTCGCCCTCGTCCTCCTCAGTTGATCTCGACGCGAACGGCTCTTCCTTCACCCCAAAATTCTCTACTCGCCCCTTACTCCTCTGATACCCTCCCTCACTGCTCGTTAGTCCGTATCTGCCTCAATCCTCGCCAACTGCGTGTTCAGAGAGTTCACGAGCACGATACCTTGCTGCCCAACGAGAGGGTTCGCTTCGGTTTTATACACAGCACTTCCACGGCATTAGCTGCCAGGTGTGCTGGTTGCATGCGTGACGCGACGTGTGGTCGACAGACTGGTCACACTGCGCCCATGTTCTTTGGAATGCGCTGAACAGCGGCTCATATGGGGTCTCACTGTCCGCTGTACAAATTTCTGGACAGTTCACGGACAGCACTGAGAGAGTTCAAAATCTGGAAAACGCGGCATCGCTGCACTTACTGTCCGCTGTCCACCTCTCAAATTCGTGAGTTCACTATGGACGCAGCGATAGAACTACAAGACAGGGCGTCCAAAGGATTTTGTCCGCCCGGACTCTAGGTGCACTCTCCAAATTCGGGTCCTCACGGTGAGTCCCTTGAAGGACTTTCCACTGAACGAATTTGGCAGGCTTTCACGGACAGTAGATTTTCGACGGGGTTTCTAAAAACTGTCCAAGCCATTTTGCACATGTACAGTGGACAGTAAGTGGAGCGAAGTACGACTGTCCGTTTTTGTACAGTGGACAGTAGTGGAGCGAGACCCATACTCATCCTGTGACTTTATTGACTGAGAACTGGACGGGATTGCCATCAATTGCATCCACTTCTCCATGTAATTGGACTCGGATACATTTTTGAAAGCACAAGTGTGAGCATTCTGAAAAGTACAGGAGTAGATACAGAGAGGAGAGGCAGGGAGAGGATGAAGGCGGCTTAACTCCACACTTGGAATTTTCGGTAATCATCATGACGAGGAAAATTGAAAGCTGGCAGCCAGTCATGACGCTGTCGGGGTTCAGAGTCGAGACTTGCTCGAGGAGTGGTAGAGGCATAAAACTTGAATTGAGGAGCTTGTGGGGAAGTTGACGTGTCCTCTTTGTTTGACGGGAAGGGAACTTATGTTTACGTCATGACTGAAGTATCGCGCATTTGAATCCTTTTCACCAAAAAAAAAAAAAAAAAAAAAAAAAAGGTACAGGAGTATACCTTTCTCAAGTGTAGTATCTGTTCCGATCAGTTTAATATCTGATCCATTTAAAAAAATAAAATAAAAAAAATCTGATCCATAAAAAAAAAAAAAAAAGTACAGCTGTGAAAGAAAGAAAAAAAGATCCAGCGGCCTAGCTCAGTTGGTAAGGCATGCAAGTGGCATTCAGGAGGTCTTGGGTTCAATCCTCATTGGCCTCATATACCTTCCTGGGCATGCTTGGCGCCCTCCACCCAGAGATAGCCCTTTGGTCCCCCCAATTGGTATTAAAAAGCAGTCTCTGCTGATGTTCATATAGGGGGAGGGGTACTCAGGGAGGCACAGCGACTGGCCACTCAGATGATGCTCGGTCCCTCTGCTACCGACTGTCCCCTGGCCGGTGCCCCCCAGTGGAGGATCCCTGAAGGCTATCAGGCCACCCTAAGGCTGAAAAGGCCACCGTTGTCAGATTAGACACAATATTGAATTTACCTGGGCTGGTTAGTCCGATGATAATACCTCAAGGCCATCGCCCTTCTGAAAAAAAAAAAAAAAAAAAAAAGAAAGGAAAAAAAGGACAGATGTGACCATGATCTGAGAGTCTGCCCACAGATGTAGGGCCTCGCCACGCCACTGTCGAAACGAGAGAAATACATCTTCCCTCAGATAGTGGCAAGATGCATCCGTCCGTTACTACGAATAGCAACGTGTGCACTTTACCAATTTCTGCTGAAGATGCACTCATCTCTTACTTCGAACAGCAAAGGATGCACCTTACCAATTTCTGCAGAAGATGCACTCATTCTCTTTGTCGTTCAGGGTCGTGTGGCGAGGCCCATAGATTCACACAAGCCTAGGAGAAAATCTCACAACACTCACGGACATTGAATATCTGGCCGTTTAGACGACCCTGAGGCTGAGCGAAGACTTCTTGGCAAAGCGAAACCTTCAGCACACATGAAGCCTCGGCGCTTATTCACACTCGCTCTTTCCTGAATGTATCTGACCGTTATTCAGCCCTCAGGTTATACTTGAAACGAGGAGGTCCCCAACTGCATGCAACACAAGGGCGTCTACGCTGAGTGATTACAGGCCTGTTTCCACACCGCTTGAAGGCCCTTGAGGGTTTTTTCTTTTTTTAGCGAATTGATAAAGCCAACGCAATATCGAACCTCTGGCAGCCTTAGCCAGCTTCGCTTTTCAGAACTAAGTCCTATACTGGATCTCTGGGACCCAGACTGAAACTGCCACCCTGAACATTCTTCCCTATAGTAAAGGTGTGTGCTTGGCAAAAGAGAGACCGGTATCCTACTGAGGTACCTCCTTTTTTTTTTTTTTTTAAACCACAAGAACTTCAACTTTTTTTAAACCACAAGAACTTCAACTTTCAAAAGAATAGTAACTGAGGCCGGGGACCTCACAATTCAACCCGGAGTTATCCTGACAGCATTAGTCAGTTTAGCTTAGAGTCAATCAACCTAAACCAAAACCTCAGACTTCCAATAATCCTTATAAACACATGCTAAGTCTAACCATGTCAGAGTAGCTGTGCTACCCCACTCTCAGCAACCGCTGAACAGCCTCATTGGGCCAGAATCTACACTACTCTAACTATTCCCCCCAACTTCCTAGCCCAACTCTACTTACCTAACCTCCTTCCTCTAATTCACAGACCTATCCTTCACGGTCTGAACTCGGCCTTCCACGACCGAGAGGAACCAACGTTCCTTCTGCTAATACCTGGACTGTAGCGGACCTCGGGTTGGCCTGTGAGACCAGCCCCTTGGCCTGTTCTCATAGGCCTGTGTTGTATTCGGGGTAGGCCAGTCCAGGCCGGTACCTCTGTCGGTACCAGCCAGTCCAGTCCAGTCCCGTCAGTCCGCTGGGGTATACCCCAGCCATTGTCTGTTTCAATCTCATTCTTCACTTGCACATTTTGGAGTACGTGCGTTGGAGTCTTGCGTGGGGAGCTGCGCTGTGCACCTTGCTCCCTCCTTCTTCCTCCATCTCCATCTCTGTCACTAGCGGAGCACCACACCTGGTGGGTCCGCTACATTGGTATCGGAGCAGGAACGGTCCCCGCCCCCACCCACCACACCGCACAGCAGGGAAATACGGCAAAACCCGACAATCGGGTTTTTGGCTGTTTTCCGGCCGTTTTCGGGCGAAAAAGTGGGAAAAACAACGAAGAAAGGTGCTGCAGCAGGAGAGCTCCACGTGGCAAAAAACAAAGCCATATGCCGCCACACGCACGCGCCCGCTGCCCCGCTGCCCTGCCCCGCCCCGCTCCCAAATTTTACATTATCAACATCCAGGATGTAACTACTGCCACTGGGGTTTGAACCCAGGCACCTGTCGAGCCATGCGCGTGTATAAGCAACCTTATAACACACTCGCCACAATGTGTCCATGGTTATATAACATGGCACACTCGTGTTGAAGAGGTGCCGTGCTGGCTATTTACCCCCCCCCCCCCCCCCCCCCCC